TTGAATAGTAGATGCTAGATGTTGAATGTTGAATGCTAAGTCTGAGATATCAGAGTAAAGATAAATGGTGATACAAAATTCACGGTTATTAAAGTATTTACCATTAAGTAGGACATGACAACGTTAAAATATAGAATTAACATGCTAAATGAAAACAGTTTCAGATGAAGCATTAAATGATATGTTAAACTAAATACTAAGTTCTAAAGGCTAACGTTCAACAACTAATGCTTCCAGGTTTGAAGTTCGACACGAACTGCAACAAGTTGAAAAATTGAGCATAGTATAGCCCTGCCTAGACTCTCAAAGTACCCATAGCAATGGACGAGAAAACCCTGCATGTAGGGCGAAGGACTGCCAACATGGCCACCGCCACGGCTAGATATTGAAACCTAAACCCTAAACCCTTTTCCCTAAACCCTAAACCCTAAACCCTATAAACCCTATAACACCCTAAACTTCAGTTCTTGGGAAGACTTCGGATTTGTTCTTTACGGTACAGGGTTTAGGGCTTAGGTCGCTAAGCCCATGGAGCTGACCGACAACGATGTCAAGAAGATTCTGGAAGTGGGATGAGCGGAGTAGGGTGTTGCGGTAAAGTGGACCGAAGTCTGTTGCGTGTAAGATACTATTGTGATTAATATTAGCATTGTTCATATTTATAAATATTCTAATAGTACAGAAAATATTATTACTCATATTCATTTTAGGTGAAAAGAGAACGGTTTGTACATTCGGCGATGATCGTCGACGTGCTGTTGCACGGCTTTCGAGCGCAGTGTCGTGATGCCGTTTGCAGGATACGTATCTAGCGCTTGTAGGGACATGATAGTAGTTGTTTGGGCTCATGTGCGCAAGCCCCTGAGCCACAAAGCCCAGGTATTGCGCCAAGGCACTTCACGTCGCCGTCTCCGCTGTGACCCAGTCGGTGCACCAGCTTCTCCTCAGTTGAGGGTCGTGTCCCCATGATCAAGCCAATAAAACGAGTCTTCAATACTCAGAGGAAAGGGAGGCGGTAATATTTTCGGGGACGAAAGGGATCTCCTCAATCCCACAGCGAACTAAAAGGGCACCCCTCCTCCTGTTGCTGCTGCTGGTGGTGCTGTTGTTGTCGCTCTTCTTCGTTTTGTTCTTGTCCTCCTAATTGCCCCTCCGGCCCCCTCCCTTCTCCCTCCCGAGAAACAAACAAAACCGAACCCTCCACCCTGCACCCACATCGAAGCCCTTGTCTGCTTTGGGCGTCGCCGGCTGTGGGCGACAGCCACATTACACAGTGGGCCTCAAGGGATCCCTGCGCCACAACTAAGCCCGCAAATCAAGGAGCCATCGTCGTGCGCTTCAGCACCTCTGTGGGCGCCAGCAGTGTGGACGAAGCTCTCCTTTGGAAAAGTGGGGGGGGTTTCGGGGGGGTTCATCCCCACGTCTACGTATGCCAATCGGTGTCCCGCTGCTCTGCTCTGGCCTAAACAAAAGGAGATCACCATTATCAGAATTATGTAAAGCACGTACGTTGTTCATTCGGGCTCGGAAGTATGTCAGGCATTAAGGGTTTAGAGCTTTGTTGGGCAGGTTATGGCCGAGCATTTAAGGCCTATGGGGTTGAGGGCTAAGCTTCTGAGACAGAGGCTTGGGCTAGCCCCCGACCCTCGGAAGTCAATGTCAGCAAAAAAAGCCCCCCTCGAATGCCATCCGAGATGCGGAATGACCACGCAGTCCTACAACAGTCCGAATATTCCCAGGGTGGCCAGGAGGGGAGGGGGGTGGGGGGTGGGTGGAGGGAGGCAAGGGAAGGGTGGCTCTTTGGGAGCGTTGTTCGGCTATGGCTCGATTGCAGAGGAAGGGTTTGGCTTTGTTTTGCAGCATTGGGCTTCGATTCCCTAATGTGGGTACAACAAACCGGATGTGGAAGCGGTGGAGTTGTCCACCAAGCTGCAACAACAAAATGTGAGAGGCGATCAAAGGCATACTCAGCATCCCTGACAGTCATATCAGCCAGCGCATCTGGCACGTCCTGAATACTGTATTGCAAGGCACCAGAGGCTACTTTGCAACTAAAACAACTACGCCCCGTCCAAGCACATCCAGCTAGAGATCGCCCGCACATGACACAACTCCTCACGGCAATGCTACATGCAATCCGAAGAGTAAGAGCGGGCAAATGAACAAGTCATCCATCAGCTAAGCAAGCCACAGCTTCTCAGAAGACGGTGGAAACAGCAAAAACAAAAACAAGAACAGTAGAACTGCTACTCAAACAAAGACTGCAATTACCAGACTCCAACCAGTCCGGGGCGAGGAGGCCCCGCTTGTGAATGTCGTCCAGCACCAAGGCAGCATCCTGACTAGGACATGGATAACTTGTAACATCTCTACTGCTGAACTGAACTAGAAACTGTGTACTAAGTAGCAATATACTGACTACAGTCGTTGCTATCACAGTTGCGCTGAATTGCCCATATCGATGTTGATGCCATCCGGCTTTTGGTGAAGACCGACGGAACAAGCAGGGGAAGACTACGAAATCAGCCAACCCTCCAAGCGGTGCAACAATGCTTAATGCGGGTTTTGGCCGCTGCACATATACAGCATGTAAATGCTCACCCCCTCCCTTCAAGAAAAAACCAACACAACCGTGTTGTATTCCCGAAACCCAACACCCCAATCCGCAGAAAGCTCAACACTCGGAGCGCCTCGTTGCCAGCCATGTCGCCTGTCAGAACTGAGGGCTGAAGCACTCCTTCGCCCTCGAACCTGAACCTGTATGGGTGCAGTGTTCAGTACTGAGGAGACGACTATAAATCATCTCAAACCCCTTAGCCTCTGCACCCTCAAAAATACAGTCGCTGATTGCAGCTCTTCAATGGCAGAGGGGCCGAGGATCTCGTGCACGAGCAGGGTGTAGCAGCCTGCCAGAAATGGCTGCTCAGGCAAGCCGTCTTAAGCAGACTAAGCTGATTTCATTCTTGGAGTAAGGCTCGGGCCTTGGTAGTGCAACCTTTGACGGTTTCAGTTTACTTGCCTAAGTCCCAGCTACTGTTGGAGTAAAGGCGCTTTGGACAAGTCATCTCGGACGCGAGGGCCGCGGTAGCAGCCTTTTGTTTTTTGTTCGCTTCACTTGCAACTGGTCGCTGTCTTCTAACTCGCGGTGTCGGATGGCATTGGGCAATGAACTCTGCCGCAGGCTTGGCGAGAGCCGTAATGCAGCAGCACGAAGCCAACAAATCTTGCACAAATTGGAAAAAGGTGTGTCTTTTGTGAAGCTTTACTGAGGTTGTCAAGGACTCACGAGCATGTGCAGCTTCGGAGATGGCATCATGCCCCGAGCAGGATTGGGACACGCCTTTCCCCAGTGCATCAGCCACTGCTGACTGCTTGGGGGCACTTAGACCCCTGTCGAAGCCATACGGGGGTTTCCGAAACTTAGGGGTACCTTCTTGGGGTCCTTGTTATCAGGGGATCCTACTACTTGGAGATTTATATTTGGGTCCCCGCCGCCATTCTCGCAAACCCCCATCTGCTAGAGTACAAGGAGGCTGAACCTAAGGTCTGCCACAGGCTCGGCAGAACGCCAATACAACACGCCGATGCCATGCTAGCATCCCACTGCCTGCCGTTGTACGATGAACAAGAGTGGGCATGTCGCTGTAAATCAAACACTGCAACAGGGATTCGGAGGTTCTCAAAAACTCAGGAACATGAAGTCTTCGAACTGCGACACGCCCCGTGTTTTTCCTGTGCAAAGACCGGCCTTTCGCCATTCACCAGCGGCCTGGAGCACTATGGACACGATCAAGCCCCATGTGCAGGTTTCCCGACAACTAGGAGTCCCTGCGTCGGGTGGGGTCCCTGTAAGATGATTCGACATGATTGTTTTTATATATTTGGGGATGTCAAGGGGGGACCCGAATCTCGGAAAATCCCTTGTCGAAACTTAAGAGCTGCGGGTCTTGGATCCCATGACGATTTCTCATGGGAGCAGCTGCTCGTGCGATCCAGGCTGCGCCAACCCGTGATCAGGTTCATTCCCCTTGCGTTTCTGCAATGTCGCAGCTTGACTATGCTATTTAGGGTTTAGGGTTTAGGGTTTAGGGCTTAGGGCTTAGGGTTTAGGGTTTAAGGTTTAGGGTTTAGGGTTTAGGGTACACCCATGCTACTACTGCATCCCCTTCCAAACCCAGCCACCGAATCGGGCGGATGGCGCATCATCCGAGCAGGAACATGAGCGGTGACGGGAACATGCTTAACGCAAGCGCCGCTCTGCCCAGAAGCCAGAACCCGAATCGCATACAGAAAAACCGAATTCAAGCTGGAACTCTCTCTGGGCAAGGTGTGCCTTTTCTTCTGGTACTAAAATCCGACATGCAGTCATGTTCCTCCAAAATCAAACAAACTTTCTCAGCTAAGGAGGCCCGATCCCATCCCAGATCTGATGCCTGACACGGCTTGGAAGGCAGTATCTGCATAGCACTACACGAGCACACGTCCATAGTGTAGGAAGCCGAAAATACAGGGAAGTAGGAGAAATGGCTCACTTCGAGCACACTGGTAAGCAGGAGCAAGATGATCGCGAGCAGTGTCAGGCTCTTCGAATCCCAAAGCTGTAAGCCATGCACACCACCAGCGATCCGGCACATGGAGGCTATGGTCAGGACACTTGGGACCAAGCTGCGCGGAAGGAGAGGAATCTGATGTATGCGTGTGTACATACATACCTACCTACATACATACCTACATACATACATACATGCATACATACATACATACATACATACATACATGTACATGACCGAACTGATCTGAAGTGATCCGAGCGCTTGCTCCCAACGCACCTGACAATCACTCTGGCGGGTGCACCGCGGAAAATAGACAGTTGAACGCCGAATCACAGCTAGCGTTCTAAAGCAAATTGCGGGTGGCGCAGTAAGTATGATCAACAGCTAGTCGAATCTGATACACTTGCTCAGGCAACGCCACAGTCTGCTTCCAGACCATCCGCAGGT